CCCCGGGCGCCGCAGCATTGGCTACCCTCTGCTCCGGGTGTGTGTGTGTGTTCAGTACTGTGTGTGTGCACTTGGATGGGTTAAATGCAGAGCACAAATTCCGAGTATGGGACACCAACTTGGCCACATGTCACTTCACTTTCACTTTTTTTTTCACTTTCACAATTCGCATGCCAGGGGCTAAATGTCACGTTATTCGGGTCGCTTCAAACCGTGGACATGAAAAACAACCCGTGGCAACAGTGTTAAAGTAGCCCAATTCCACGGGAAAACCGAAGACTTGGCCACACTGTTTAAAGGGGAAGTTCAAACATCAGTGAGTAACAAAGGAATAAGTAGCTGCATTCCTATTACTTTTATGTGACTGATCAATCTTTTTTTATGTGGTTTGGGGTAGCAAAGGGTTTTATAGGTTTGACCAGGGCTTAATTGGTGCCGGAACAAGTCGGATCCTGATCCGGCACCTCTGAATTTGTCCAAAATCTGATCAGGAACCTCATTTGACAGATCCCCTCCTCAGGTGCCAATGAAAGACGTTTGTGTTGACCTATAGCTTGCATATATTTCATGAAAAAAACTTATATTATGAGCAGGCTTGCCTAGCATCTACATCTGAAACAACAAACTTGAGCGCGCAAAGAGATGTGACGTGGCTGCTCTCACAAAGCCGAATGCACAGATCCAATACTGATACACATGCGTTTTCTTTCTCAGATGTTTACATTTAGTTAAGACAAAACCGACTGTGCTTACAAGGATAATCGCCAGGACGGCCATTTTGACGTAATTTTTTTGTGTGTATTTGGCGGCGTAATCGCAACAAGCTGCAAAAAAATAACTCAATTTGGTACTCTCGAGGAGGCGCGATATGCACGCTATGGATGTGACTGTGAGCGCATATGGAGCACGCAAGTATCGAATGGCTTAAACTTAAAAAGATGTGCAAATGATACAGTTTTGTGACGATGCAACAATGACTCGATTAAGCAAGTGACAATTCTGTCGACTGTCCGGAAACCCGAGCAAAAGTCTTGTATCGCAGCGTGCAGTACTGCAGACGAGATGCACTGTTGTGAAGCCGCTTTGAGAGCGAGAGAAGACGCGGTACAGCTGAAAATTCCCCTCATTATAAACTCGAAAGCAGATTAAACATAATTATATTATACAGAAATTTAAGGAAAACAATCCATGACTTTTCCAAAACTTTTCCAGGCCTGGAAATGGCTGTTTTAAAATTTCATGACTTTTCAATTTTTTTCATGACCGTAAGAAGATGCACGCTGTTAATCACGTGAGCTGGTCCTCCATTGCACGAATGCTCCGTTACCTCTGCCTCCTCTAATCATGCCGGATCTGTCACCCCACTTTGTTCCGGGACCTCGCAATTTACAAATTAAGCACTGGGTTTGACTGAAATAATAATGCAAAAACTGACCATTTAAATCACAACAACAGCAACAAAACAACTAAACAAAAACAGATAAAGACAAAATGTAGTCATTGATAATATCTAAACATGTATCAAAATCCAAATGCAATAAAATTAATTTATGTGTGATGACAATTTCTTAGCAACTAGGGATTGCACAAACCTGTTTATATATATTTTACGTAGGGCTATACAGGCATCTAGTGGCTACACAATAGTATTACAGATGATAAATGGTGCAAAATATACAGTATATCTTAAAAAACTGTATAATTGATGTACATAGTGTATATAGTGTTTTATTTTAATATTTGTTCATTCAATTTCTTGAATGTTACTGCTAGATACTGTAGGCCTACCTGAAAAATAAAGCACTGTTTGTTTTATTTGTGTGAAAAAAAAGTTAACGTACAGCCCTGCGCCAGTAGCTCACCGAGTGCAACCATTTGACATCATTTAAAAATAATGGCGCCCCCCCATAGTCCAAAATATGTATAAAACAATGTGGATTTTTTAAATAACGTAAATCTTTCATGGGTTTTCTGTTACATATTTTAGTAAGAGACATCATTTATGTTATTTGCAGCCATACAAGTCTTAATACCTGGGGTTCCCTTTAACAGCAAACCAAAGATTTTAGAGATAGCTGATTTGGTGGTTGACTAGCAACATAAAAAAACAACAGTGCACTGCATTTTTTTAAATTAAAAAAAAAAGTCAACAAAAAAAGGCAGAGCGAATGTGAACATCAGAATAACAGGATCTGTTGATTGTGTCTAATCAGTTCCTGTGATTCTGGATCCAAACACTGCAGATCCACGTCTTGGCCTGTCTGATGATCTGACCAGTGTGAGATGGAGCATAAACAAACAACTTCTTCCTGATAATCCAGAGAGATTTGACTATTATCCTGATCTCCTCCTGCCTAATCCGGCCAGTGTGAGTGACATCGAGGATGATCTAATTATTGATTAATTATTGTTCAGAGGGTTTTAACTCAGGAACACTCTGCTGGGATGTGGAGGTTAAGTAGAGTAAATACTGGAGTCTTGGAGTAACTAGAGTAACTTGGAGTAACCACCTTCACTCACACACTCTTCCCATTCTTCTGTTGTTATAACTCTGAGGATCTTAGCGATCAATAGTCAGTAATCGTTACTCCTGCAGCTCTGGATCTTCCTGCTTTCATCTTTCATCATGTTTCAACATTTAATCACATGAGTACCAGACTGTTGATCTGAATATATGCTTGTGATTGATAGTTAGCTGAACTCTGATCACTGATGGATATTAATCAAACTGTACAATTACTGATTAAATGTGTATAAGGTTCATCTTATCTGCATTATTATTATTATTACTTTTATGATTCATTTATTATTTATTTATATGTTATTTATATATTATTTATTTAGCCTTCATTATAAATACTTTTCTTTATTTTTTAAAATAATTTTAATAGTATTTCTTGGTAACACAGTACTGAAAAAAAATGTTTTCTCAGGTAACCTAAAATGTGCATAATTTAGTTACGCCAGCACGACCAGACAAAAACATTAAAACCCATTACAAACGAAGCAATTGTTGCATCCAGTGGGGACATAATTACGGATTTTAATGACTTATACTGTTTTTTTTACGCGTTGCGTTGCATCGCGTAAACATAAAGCCATGTCTGCTTTTATCCAAAGCGACTTACAAATGAGGACAATGGAAGCAAATGACAATAAATAAGCAATAGAGAAACGTTTTGCACAGCAAGAAATAAAATTAGAGGGAACATTGGTTGTACCCTTTGAAATCCTTCATTCCGAAGGGCCCTTTGAAGTGGCCAGTTTTGAGCACTTCGGTTTGGAACGACCCTTCAATATGGCGTCCGTGATTGTTTTCACTCCGAAGTGCCCTTCAGAGGGCGATATATCCCGTTTGGAACGCACTGTGTGAGTGAGTTTTTCTTGTCTTGGGTGGAGCGCAAACCCTCTTGACTGTAGGCCTAAGTTGGACTCCAGGTAGGCCTTGAAAGGTTCATTCTTCCTCCTCAACGAAGCCTTTAATCACAATTGACTCAGAAAAGATGGGTTTAGCGGACATCTTACCCACATCTACACACACATACACACACACACACACACACACACACACACAAACAACACACACACACACACTCACTCACTCACTCACTCACGCACGCATGCAAACATCAGTCATTTTTCTTTTGAACCCTACATTTAAGGACATAAACATTAGTTTGATGTGTTATGAGTTGATCGTTATTTTAGGATTGCTGTGGACTTTGAACTGGAAAATACTTGATGCATTAACAAATACTGTGTTGGAATATTTACAAATATTGCTTTGATCTTTATTGATTTTCTATTGATGACTTGTGCATATACTTTTCCCTCTTTTGAAAGTCGATCGGGATGCATTGATGCTATCTTATATGTTTGTTGGTACTTTGATATGCTTTGAATGAGAAGGTTTGGTGGAAAAAGAAACGAGTCCCACTTGTGAGTTGAATTAAAAAAGGACGTTTATGCAATTGTAAGTGTGCTGGTATTGTGTATTTTGTATTGTTCTGTGAAAGGTGATTGATTCAACCGGCTATGATCACTACCATCACAATATAAATTCATATAAAATCCTATGTAAGCATATCACATATTTGCATATATGTTGTTTAAATAGACTTGCATATACAAATTAGACATACATGTATATTGTTCACATATATGATCTTCACATACATTGCCATATAAAAAGTCATCTGAGCGCTGGATTCGCCGCGGGTCTGCCAGTCTCCATCGGCGTCGTGGCTAGAGGTCTCCGCCTCTGGTCTCCGCCTCCAGCCTCTGAGTCCTAAAAGTCATATATATACAGTGGGTACGGAAAGTATTCAGACCCCCTTAAAGGGGGTCTGAATACTTTCCGTACCCACTGTATATATATATATATATATTCTAAAATGAGTATTTCATATATAGTATAAACCTATGTCTCGTATATATGGATGTATACATGTACTAATAATATGTTGCCTTATATAAAAACATATATGTGTCACAGTACGGTGTGATAAATGCGCAACGAAGACGAAGATTAATGCAAAAAAATCTTTAATATAATCCACACAGAAGGAATCCACAGAAGGTAGGCAGGTAACACGCACAACTCAACTTTAACACTGAACAAACACAGAATGCACAGACTTTACTTAATAAAGGGGAGCTTGATGAGGGACAGGCAGGTGAGGAGGATGAACTAATAATGACATAACAATAGCAGAAACAGAAACATAACCAAATATGGGCACAAGGAACTAACTAATGAAAGAGAGACAGAAACAGGGTCAATGAACACATGAGGGATGAAAACACAACAAAACATCCAAAGGGGTGTGACAATATGACATCACTACTTGGATATAGGGACATATATGTACATATATTACATTTCCGTGTGGGATAAACAAAGCAGTTTCCCAGAACACAGCGTGACGTCAGCTTCACATTCTCTATATAGCAGATTAGGGCGACGTTTTGTTTCATCCTTTTGCACTGGTTCCACAAAAATGGCCAGGTCAGTACTATTTAAATAAAAAGTACTTGCAGCTCATCTGTGAACACATACTGTACTGTAACTGCAAGTAAGTGCAAATAATGGAGTCAGATATCTATTATATCAATTTTGAAAACAGGGATATTGAGGGTACAACTCCACCTCAAACACCAAGTCGACGCCAGGATGCAGGAAAAGCTCCAAAATGCAGTAAGTAGAAATTGTTATTTCTTATTTGTATTTATTTGTATTAATTTATTTATTCGTTTTTCAGCATATGGTATTGTTCGCATATTTACCATTTATTAATTTCAGGGGATTGTCATTATAAAAGACTATCCAAAAGAACACTCTTTAAAAAGCCATATCAATTACTTATGAAGGTTCATTTCAGGTGTTATATCTAATCTGATGGAGTGTTATTTTGATATTTCTGTGTTTTTTTCATCCTGTTTGTCAGCAGGAAGTAGATGTTTGGTGTTGATGGCGGTGTGTACCGGGCTCATTTGCGTTCTTCTGCTGGTCTTCATCATACTGCAGCACATCTTCATCACAGCAGAGAGAGACCTGTTGAAGAATTACAAGGACGCAGTCCAAGTGTTCAATCAGACGATCAACAGATTACAGGACACTTACTCTGATCTAATGACTGAGAATGACCAACTGAAGGACAGATTAAACTACCTGAATGATGATCTAAAGAAAGCTTATGAACAAGGTTAGTACAGATCTGTTTTTGTAGTATCATTTTCTTACTTTTCTTTTACATATTCAGTTTTTAAAAAGTGTGTTTCTGTTAGGATTTCAGTGGGGTTCAGGTTGGTTTTTCATATCCAATGTTTCGAAGAGCTGGTCTGAGAGCAGGCAGTATTGCAGGGATCGAGGTGCTGATCTGGTCATTATCAACACTGAAGTGAAGCAGGTACATTTCTGTGAGTATCTGTAAAAGAATGAGAGCAATCACACTTACTCTATTTTTGTATGCACACAGAGTTTCATAACTTCAGTCATCAGTGGAAATGAGAGATTGTGGATTGGTTTGTCTGACATAATCCAAGAAGGCAAGATGAAATGGGTGGATAATTCACCACTGAAACAAGGGTGAGTGCAAAAAAACACTGTGTTTATGTGTTTAGTATTTGTAATCTAATTTTGATAATCAACCACAACCATCAGGAAATATCTGAAAGCTCATCTTTTCCACAAACACAAGCAAAGCAACCTCCTATAAATAAATTATTTTCACAGAAAATTATTTTCTCTTTTGCTTTTCTGCGCTTTCACTTTAGCTTATTTTGCTAGGGCGTTTCTAGAATTTCAATATATATATAGTCAAGTGTAGTCAAATTAATATGCCTTAGGAAAAGGGAAATATATTATTTTAAGATATTTTAAGATATGTCAGTTGCAAGTTGCTTTCAGTTAAGAGAGCTCAAACATGCATTTTAGATTTAAGCCTTGTCTGTCAAACTGGGCATTAATATATATTTTTTTGTAAATGAACCACAATTTCATTACTATGTTTCTCAACAAACAAGTAAATTTTTTTTATAATATCAAATTAACGTTTTGGGAGTAATTGTGAAATTAAAGAAGTCTCACGTAAGTCATTCAACCCAAGTGTACATTTTTATTTAATTGCAATTAAGAATCCAAAAGCATTACATTTAGTTACACATAAGTATATTATTTTTAATTATTTTCATAATAAGTATGCTAAAGTGTACTTAAATGGACCTGTAGCACAATGACTTCACCTGTGCCCTGATCTTTATTAAAAACTGAGTGGGGGAGAAGGTTAATACAACTGATAATACAATTATCACAAAAAAACAAACAGTGCATTTAAAATTAAGAAAAAAAAACAAGCTTCTAAAATGAACACGTCGCTAACTAGCTTAGCCGCTCAAACATAGCTCAAACATAGTAATGAAAATGAAATCTAGCTGCCGGCACAACATAATATAAAACGAGTTGTGCAGATAACTCAATATGTAGAGTTTGAATCCCCTGTTCCGCTTGCATGTTGAAGCAAAAGACCAGGCATCAACGATACAATGGACATCGTTGGTGCTTACTTTAGGCAAATCTCGGAGACATCTAGTAGATACTGACATTAGGCAGTCGTGGCCTAATGGTTAGAGAGTCGGACTTGTAACTTGAAGGTCGTGGGTTCGAGTCTCAGGTCCGGCAGGAATTGTCGGTGGGGGGAGTGAATAACCAGCGCTCTCTTCCACACTGAATACCATGACTGATGTGAGACCTGTGAGCAAGAACCGGGGGTGTGTGTGTGTTCACTGCTGTGTGTGTGCACTTGGATGGGTTAAATGCAGAGCACAAAT